GGCGAACTGACTCCCATCTATATAGTGCAACTGTGAGTAAACACAATATATACTCTTTAAGCCATCTCGTTTTTACTGCGGGCCCTATCTCGTTCCACAAGTAACACCAGCAAAACCCGTATTACCATGTCCGCCTGTACTCTTAACACAAGAAGACTAAATAACCGCGGTCGCTCGGACCAAAATTTGGGGCCTGAGGTTTGGGTAAGAGAGCCTCTGGTTTCCCATGTCAAGACGAGGTAACCAGATCCGGCAATTGGTATGTGAAGGCAAGCATGGGGCTGTGGGTGGGCTTCCTACCAATGCGACGACCATGATGCCCGCGACGACGATGACGGGTGCTACCAACACCCAGCTTGTGTGGCACCTCCTTGGCAGTGAAGTCGAAGGACACCTTTTGCGGCAGAGCTTGGTCAAGCAGCAGCATTTTCGCTTGCTGTGGGGAAAGAAACGGTCACACAACCTCAGATTCCTTAATTCGAACCCAAGAAGCTCGAAACCGGAAAACCCGCAACCGGAATCATCTACAGAAGCCGCAGGCTGAAACCGAAACATAGGACCCCTATTTGCTGCACCAAGGCTCCATGGGGACGTTGCTTAATTCGTCACCGCTACGATACAGATCCACCCGACGGGCGCTCATCACCTGAGAGGCTGAGCCATGAAGAACTACAAACTAGGCTGTAAGGCCTTACCAGTAAAAGGTTAAGCTACGCGATGAAGACTTCTACAATCGCCAAAGTGAGCCTGTTTCACAGGGACTTGCGTGTTTGGCTTCCTGCCAGGCTGCTTCAGAACTACGGCAGAGCATTGAAGTCCACAGGCAATCCAAACGTAGTAGCTATGATAATTACACTGTGAAGCAACACTAACCGTGCATGTGACAGTATGCATAAGCGGAACACAACGACGGCCATCCTCCAGCCATCTTTGCTGCATTGCACGGTGCATGCCGCCTTTCCGGAGCATCGGAATCCGGATGAATCCGGCGTCAAGATGCGTCAAGCACGGCGATGTGGAGGGCATCATCTGCCGCACCGTCTGACCCAGCAACAAACCATGGGACGTGTTGTGGGCCAGTCTTCCGGCCCTTGCTTGCACATCACGACTTGCATCCATGCACACTTGGGTGGGCCAGGTTAGCATCCCGTAAACATGTCTTCTTGTCCTCGACCATGACCACGACAGTTGGCCGTTGAAGTTTGCAAATCTCGTAGTTGGCAACATCGGAACCTGCTCGCGGAAGCCCGTGCTGAGTCGACCAGCGTATCCTGGCAGCCTGGTTTGTGTGATAGTTCCTGCCACGAAATCCTGGACCGCCGAATTCTGGGGCATGAGATGACCGCCAGGTGGCCCTTCATGAGTTCGGGTGTTGTCTTTGCACAGGGGACCACCGGTGATGATGACATGTGCTTTGTGCGAGCGGTCGATGGCACTCATGGCCTTCAGGATGCCCTGCGGGTTGTCACCGCAGTGGATGACGTCAGGGAAGCAATGATGGACCAACTTCGCCAAATCGGCATCAGGCTCCCATGGTATGGCTCGCCAAGTTTTCCATGCATTCTTAGAAGGGACTCTGAGACGAGGGCTGCCGATCCCACGTCGTCGACAAAGCTCAACAGGATGTAGTCGGGCGGTGGCTGTTGCGAAACGAACGAAAGGCTTCACACTGAGCGAAGCACTGTGCTGTGGTGTTCATGCTCGTGCATGTCATTCAGTGCACAAGTGCACACCACGGCACAGCAAATGCAGAGTGACTGAGACAGTAGGGGTTCCAGGCTGCCTGGGGTTCGAGCAAGGTCAAGAGGAATGTCCAGTAAAATTCTGGTGGCTCAGGTGTCTCACTCAACCAATGACTCTCGCAGCCACTCTGCCTGGTTGCTGAAATCCCTTACCCACGGCGATCCAGAGCTCTCCTTCTCAACTACTCCCTGATGGGTAAGAAAAGCCTACAGTAGGGCCCCGTCTCCGCCCAGGTACACGGCCGCGTGCAACGGGCTCCGACCACGTCAACTTCACCTGGAACTTAGGTCATCCTTCTCAGGGCTGAGCCTGGAGTACGCCTTAGCGGCTAGAGCTTCGCATGTTAAGTACGAAACCCCCTACACACATAGAGGCTGGCCATGGACCGGGTGGGTGGAGATGGTGGAGTCTGAAACTGGGGACCGAGCCTGACCGGTCACTCTCCAAAGAAACGCTGCTTTTGCGAGATTCCCCGTTGCGAAACGGCTTCCAACCTAGAATCGCGCATGTTTGATGCACCCGGCACGACCACATCCTACGTGTCATGCCAAAGGCACGAGCCCACAGTCACAAAGTAGTTCGTACATGAAACCACGCCGGCCCGCCTGAATATCCACGCTGAGCCCACGAACACTGTTGGGAGGATCAAAGGTGCGGATGGTGGGCTCCTGCGTATCCTGTTGCAGGTGAATGCATCAGCGATTTGCTTGGGGACTGTCGGGATGCTATAAACCTCGATGTGAGGATGCGCTTGGATGCACAACTGTTCCTTGGGTCAATGCCAACTTCAACTACAAGTAGCTCTCGAAGTCGATCTTGCTCTCTACAGGCTACGATGCACGCAGGTTTTGCCAGTCATAAAAAGTCGTTGAGCAGTCTAATGAGGAGCTCACAGCTGTTTTTCAGCATTCGATCTCCACCAACGCAGCAGATCGAATGTGGCCCAGCGCATGATGCCCGAAATGCAGCCTAAACAGGGCCAAAACCCTAAGCCTAAACCGTACACTTGCAGAACCTCATGAGTGAAGTATGTCCGTGTACGCTAAGTACGCAAGCGAAGCTCCAAGCTCATGATACCTTGAGCTTCGATCGAGATAGTATTGGGGCCGTAATAAGTAGAATAGGGCTGGGGAGCCTGATTAGTCGTCCCATAGTAGATTAAGGTTGAGGAGTTGAGGACAAGAGTTGTTGTCGCTATTGTGGCTGCTATCACTGCCAAGATACTGTTGCCATTGCTGCGGTTGTCCTTCATGTTGCTGATTGCAGACGTCTTCCTCTCTTTCAACCATTATTGTTGTTGTGGTCGTCGTTCTAGCCTTCGTTGCTTAACCAGTGCTGCTGCTACCTATACTGCCACTTTGTCTCACAAATGCTACTGCTGTTTCTGAATGCGCACATGTACTGTTCTGTGTATCAGAGGTCTTGCTGGCAACACCTCCACGATGATGGATTTGCTGGTCAAGGCGCCGGCAAGTAGAAAAGGTACTGCCCAGTCTGCAGGCCCCCATGCCTTGCTTCAGTGATCTTCATTTCAAGGTCTCATCGCGTTCAAGTTTCTGACCCCAGCCTCAACTGAAAACTCCTCCGGGTTCAGGGTTTCTGACAACGTCCTGGAGCCCAGAGGCGACCCTCTCCGCGGGCCTCTCGCTCCCTGAAGAATTCTCTAACAGTGAGCGGGGCCTTTTGGAAAAGGTCCTCAACCGGAATGCGACTCGGGGGTGTTGTGCTGTGGCTAGGAATGTGGATTCCAGTAACTCTGCACGTCTTACGAGGAAGTCGTTGAAACAAGGAAACTATGCTCTGCTGTCCAGTCAGTGCCAAGCCGCGGCAAGCGCGACGCGGCCTTGAGCGGCCAATGAACGTCAGTTCGGTCCGTGCTCCAAAACAGGCACCATAGCTAAGGGCTCAAGGAAGAGATAGCACGTATAGCGTCAACTACAGGATCCGCTCGACATGCAGAGTACTCTGCGGTTCGATAACAGCACCAAGCTGAAATGCACAGCGTTTCCGCTCCAGTGAAGGCGGGAGACTCTGACAGGACACAGGTGCGGGGCGGTTGGAAGAATCTTAACCACACAGCCCAAAAGCTCTCGACGTGCAAGGACATATCGGCTTCTGAATGCTACGTCGAAGATCGGAGTACAAAAACCTCAAGTCCCCCAAAATTGCCCAAAAGACCTGTGGGATCAAAGCTTGTATTCGCAGGCTGCGGCACAGAGAAGACAATGTTCCCGGCGATGGTCAGGAAACAGGTTCTCCTCGCTGCTGGACAAAGTTCCAGCCTTCCCTGAACCGCTACGTACAATTCTACAGCCAGTCTAGTCAGTCTATTTTTGGGTGTGAATTGAAAACCTGAATGGCTCATAGTCCCGTAGACTCACTAGCCCTGCTGGGTAGTTTGCACCCTTGGCTGCGCCGTGACGGCTGTCCGGGTAGCATCGACTGCCGCACGAAGCAAGAACTACTGACTGCTTGTCAGCGTCTTACTGGCCCCCTTCTCCACTGCCCATGGCTTTTCTCTAACGCAGCAGCTTCCTAGCGCCTCTTGCAAAAACCCTTCAACCTGGGGCTCCTGTAGTCGTTGGCCAACTCCTTGAGGTTAATTTCCAAGGTAGTATTCTTCGCCGAGACCATCCACTTACCTCAGCTCAGCTGTCTAGCCTGCGAAAGACGTGTTATGGAGGTTGAGGAGCCTTCAACAGCTCCTCAGTAGAAGAATTTCTGAAGCACGAAACACCACAAGAGCAAAACACAAAGACAGCTCCGCAAAAGCTTGTTTTGCTCGAAGTGCCCGACAGCCGCAAGACCACTCCACAGTCATGCACAACCCTAGCAAGCCACATAAACCGCAGATTTACCTGATGAAGTCTGAAAGGCAAGACCCCAAGCCCGACATGAGAAAGTTTGGACTGTCCAAGTCCGGGTGCAACAGTATAGCTGGTGAAGCCTGAACTGAATTCAAAACGCTGTCGACTGGTTGTACGTGCTCTGTCTTTTGCTGAGATGCCTGGGCCGTTGTTACAGCAAGCATGACCAACGACAAAGCCAGGTTACTGACCCAGAAGGTCTTTCCGCCATTCTCCTGGCATTTTGGCATGGGGAGTTCTTCGGATTGCCGTGGTAGCACGGACGTGTGCGTGCGTGTGTGTGTGTGTGTGCGAAAAGATGACACCCTAATTAAGACACGCACACTCACCCCCGGGTGTGACTGCAAACGGCTTGATCAAAGAAATATGATTTAAGAACCTGATGAAGAAACCCTGACCGTACAACCCGCATATATTGGGGCTCACATCAGCAACCCTAATAGAGAAGGATACTTTATTATGTCAAATTACATTGTATTGTATGATATGGTGTTATATTGTCTCATATGATCTCATCGTATATTAAGTTAGCAGTTTACTAGATTTTCACCGCTCGAGGACTCGCTGAGCAGCCAACGATCGCACACAGTTTTTGGTGCGACCGCAACGTGGGAGTCGGCCACAAATCAAATCTCGAACATCTCTTCATCATTCCGCACGGATGCTCCGATCACCGGAGGGAACACCAGATAGCTGGCGATCGCTCCGCACAGATCCGAGCCAAAACATCAGACGAGACGAGATATTCCCGGCGAGCAAAAGAGAATGCGGCGAAAAACTAAAAGTCTTCGATCGGATCCATAGGGGGCTACCACAAACCTCTCGAGGCACGCCACAAATTCGAGCGGAATCGGCACGGCTTCACGGGTCTCTTTCCCGCGATCGCCGTAGACCTTCTGCTGCAGGGCCATCACGCGTGGATCCGCGAGAGCTGGCAATCCAGTCCGACCCGCTTGCAGATCCACTTAATAGCCCCGCGAACCGACGGGATGGTTGTTGGACCGCACCCCGATCGGAGAGATCCAGGATGTACTTGACCAGAACTGACATCCGTGCTCAGCGGGATCAGCTGAATTTTTTGGGGCCGACCCCAAGCTTCCAGTCGCTCCCAGTGACGCACGGACTGCTGGATCGTGCGAAAGACACCGCTCTCGAAGACGATCACCCTGAGCTAGGGTGTTCATCTCGTCCCTCGAAAGAGCGACCCGGCCTTCGGTTCCCTAGCGACCGCTGCATGTGAGCCATAGCGGTCCACGATCGCTTTGAGGCTCGACTTGGCTGGTATCGATCGCCCTCGGCCTCTTAGCTAACGGCACCGGGACGAGCTGGCTTTCACCTGCCGTCCTCGCTTTGAGCGGAGATCTCCCGCTAGCAATGGGACTACACGCCGAAACCAAGATCAGTGGCAAGCTCTGCCCATCCGATCGAGAACACCGGCTCGAAGGCGCGTGGAGATCCTCCACAGCGGGACAAGATCAACGAACGACTGCACGCACTCCGCGATCGAACCATCAGATACAGCAGAGTTTCGCCAAAAGCGCGTGTCAGCCCATGTCAGCCCTCATGCAATCGCGAGCGCAAGCGCTCCTCCGCGGATTCCGCCTCGGTGAACTGGCCCTCCGGGATCACCTGAATCTCTGACACCCGCTGATCGTACAGCTGTTGAGTGGAAGCCGGGACGTCAGCGATCGCTGACAGAGGCGCCTGGCCTTCATCGTGCGAGCGATGGGCCAGGGCCTCTGGGAGCACGAACTGCAACGGGTTCAAGAACAGCCTCGAGCAAGCCCTGAGGTGGAAGCCCTCCTCGCCATCGAAGGGGAAGGAGTCGGTGAAGGTGCCCACCTCGGCTGCGCTCGCCGCCCTAGATTCGCAGTGGAATACGACCTCATTGCCATGTGAACGGCTGAAAAGCCGAATGGGACAGGACTGCGCTCGCATAGGAATCCCACCGAGCACATGGGCCTCCGGTCTTCGAGGACACGGTGAACACCAAAACCGCCTTTATGCCGTCGAGCGTGTACTTCGCGAAAAGGGTGCTCCCTGAGTTCGACGGCATCACCTGATCTCGCTCCGTGAGCACATTGATCGAGCTCGTGGCATTGGCCATGATCTCGTCCACCAGCCAGTTCTGGAACGGGCTGGTCTGCGCTCGTCCCTGGTATCGATCACTATCAGGGAGTTGCGATTAGGATCTGCATTCGCAACCACTTGCCCTGCTCTACGAAGTCAGGCTTCTGCACCGCGAAGGGGTTGTGGGCAGCCGGAGGCGCTCGGTCAACACCTCGCCGGCGACGATCGTCGCGTTCCATCCGCGTCTTTTGGCTGAGCTTGCCCTGGAGTGTAAAGCCCCCACTATCCAACAGTCTTTGCTGGAGGGAGCCTCCTCGGCAGCCCGAACTGAGGAATGTGCTGCCGATCGGAGCTGCGGAATGGACCAGCTGGAGGGAACGACATGGCTGGTTGGATCTAGTCTGTTCCCCACGCCGACGATCGAAAATCCGGGCCGATCGGCTGATCGCCAAAATGGCCACGGACAAAGTGATCACCGCTGTTCTTCCGATCGGGAAACTGAAATCTGAATTCCTACCCACCAGACCGAAAATTACGAGACTGTATTAGGATACCCAGCCCCAGGGGGTAGTAACCTCGAAGAGATCGCACAAAAGCTGCACGCCGGATTCCTCGCTGACCTCGCGGAGACTCGAGGGCTTAGAGGAGCTTCAATCTGTTGGTGCTCAGCTAGGGAGCTTCATATGATATGAAATTGATAGGATGTGATATGATGTGATATTATATGGTGTACATATAGATATAGGGTCATATACATGTACCCACACTTACATGTACATACATAATCAACATAATGTATTAAAATGTAATGCGATGCAATAAAATGTAACATGTTACTATGCAGTTTAATACAGTACAATACAATGCAATGCAATACAATGCAATACAATACAATACAATACAATGATACCACGAGATATAATAACATCATGTAGTTTGAAATAACGTCGCACAATATAACATAAAAGTATATATAATTCAATAGAGCTGTATATTATATTACATTCTAGCATAGTATAATGTAATAACATCTACTATAACAAGCAAAATATAATCTATATTATGATATGCTATAACATACTACATATGATAATAATGAATAACATAATATAACAGATTATGTTATATTGCATCATGGTAAAACATTATACACTTGAGCTTTCTTTAATATACAGGACATATTATCGCAAAATATAATATCATGTTGTACTGCTATACTATATTGTATCATATTGTATTAAATTAAATGATAGTAAAAGCATTACAGTATGTTATATAATAGTGTAATTTCACATATACACGCAGGTGCATGCATGCATGCATATATGCACGGATGTATGTATGCATGTAAGGCTCTTGGATTTCAGGACAATAGCTTGAGGCCGGGGAGGTCTTAATTTAGGATTTTAGGGTTGGGACCCGTTAAGGCTAACACCGCAACAAGAAGGACACCTTGATCTGTAAGGCCACGAAAGCGCCGCAACCCCCGCTTCGGTGCCAAGAATGCTCGGGCTCCGGATTTAGGGTTTCGGGTTTCGGGGGCTTCGGCTTAGGCGTTGAAGGGCCCATGCTCAGCATGAAACGCAGAGAAGGAACACTGATCGGGACATAGGTACTAGTTGACTAGCTTTGCTTGTTCAGTGCCACGCCCGATGCCTTTTCGACCCGCTCGGCCTGCTAATTTTTTACATGAAGTGGCCTGAGCACGTATTCCTACAGTCCCAAACCCGAACATCCGATATATCGACAATCCCTCAACCTTCTGCCGCCCACCCTGAACTGGGAAATCGCTGACCATGGCCTGAAGTGTCTTCGAAAAGTCTAGCACTGAGCATATTTGTCTCGGGTTCCCCACTGCTGTGAATTTAGTGCCCTGTACACTTGCATGACAATGCTGCAATCTTGCCTGTTTGTGATTTGTTCATACCGTCGAAGAGCCCGAAACCCTACAAACCACGAACATCTGTACACCCTAAACTCCCAGCGACTCGAAGCCTCTAAGCCTCCCTTCGGCCTGGTTGGCCAGCTCGATGGGTCGATCGAAATCCACCTGTTAGGTTTAGGCTTTCTTATGGACTCGGGGCGTAGGGTTTAGGGTGTGCAGGCCAGTGTTCTGAGTTTACATCTGTGTGCGATAGTGACAGTGGGCTGATTGCACGCCTATCTCTAGATCTGATATGTGAGCATTTGTGTTCGGTCGGGGGTCCTGAAAAAGGACAAGCCATAGAATACCTGTCACGGATTATAGGACTCTCCAGATGCATGGCTGATTCCAGGTTAGTCTGCAAACTCGGCAATCCAACCATCATCGGGACTTCAGTCTTGAGTTTGGGGTCTTGATTGGAACATGCCGATGTGGAACCAAACTGTAGCAGCACTGGTGGCGGTGGTGGTGGTGGTGGCGGTGGTGGTGGTGGGGGTGGCGGTGGCGGCGGCGGCGGTGGCGGCGGCGGCGGTGGTAGCTCGTTGACGTAGCCTCAGGGAGTTATCTCGATTTGCTATTGACATTTTGTGTGCATGAAGCTTCGGGGTGTCGCGTTTCGGATCAAGGCCTCGATACTCCAGATTCCGAGCTCGCCCAGCTGATGTCCCTCCTCCGGACGCACTTGCCTTCAACAGCAGAGTTAGGGACTGGCCCATCTCTGGACTCTGGACTCTACATCTGGAAGGCCCTCGTCTTTCAACTGCTGTGATCTCGCGATAGATGAAAGCTTCCTTCGAAGTCGCTTCTACAGAGCCCCGACGCGGACTCAAGGCCAATCTGCCTTCTCTGGATATCCGGTGTGTCTGCATCACTGAGGGGCTTGGAAGGAACAGCTTCTTGTAGCAACAGAAAACTGCGCAGGCTGGAGGCCGAGGGATGCATCGAAAGTCTCAAAAAGAAAGCCCCAAGGACCGTGTGTTCTGCCAATCGACCCGCTCACAAGCCCTCCCGGGATTGAAACGCTGTCAGAGAAACTCGATACGTGGCGTGCCACACCTGAGCATCAAATGATCATGCAGGATCTAGACTTGGGCGTTGTTGGAGATTGGTACCTTTCATAGCAGGAACGCGCCATAACCGTAGAGGTGAACCACATAATAGAGAACTATGGCTGTCTTCGGTCAGACAACGTCATCCATCCGCAATACCTTTCGTCCCCGACATGCCAAGAGGCCGTATCTGGCTAGGGCAGTCGTCACAGCTGGTGGCCGCAGAGTTAGGCGTGCTGCGCGCTACCTTGTGTGACGTTCCAAATATTTCTAAAGGCTGCGGGTTCCGGCTCAGGGTATCTTGACTCGAAAAGCAAGGCACCCTCACCATGAGTATCCCCCCACGGCCCACACCGGGGCATGGACGCAGCCACCGTTCACAAAGAGGCAGCCATAGCCAAACTTCGTCGCCCTTGCCATGGCGCAGTCGCAGCCCTCGGGGCATCGATTGGATACCATTAGATTGTATAGGGGTCCCAATGGGGATCCCACTAACTAGGACCTATGGGGTCTATGAGCGACTTACCCAGGCCTGATGAACCCAAAAACTTCAACAGAGAGGGGCATTTCGAAGAAACTGCCGTGAGGATCAGAATAAAAGCTAGACGAGGCTATTGGAGTCTGCATCTACTGATCGCAGAAAGTTGCCGGCGAGCCATCGTCTCCCAGTAGCATAATGTGGTTGTTCGCTCGTCTTACATTTGCTGCAACTTCGACCTGAGCTCTAGTGCTTGGCGACCTCACGAGAACCAAATTAAAATCTACCTGAGAGACACTCAGCGAATACTGGCCGACTAGATTTGATAGGAAACAACTTTCAACCTCCAAGTGCCAGCAGGCAGCTACCGTCTTATCCGCGCAGACAGTGCTTTGATCCGGCTCCACGCACTTGCTCTGAAAAGGACAAGCCTCCAATCGACAGTGCTCAGCTCTCAATATTCAGACATGGGATTTGCCTGTGAACACAGTCCTGCACAAAAACTGGATAATGGCGTGTTTGAGGAACCGCACTTCAGTCAAACAGCTTTCCCTGCACAAGTTCTATGGAATGTTGGCGGCTACAGATGCAAGCAGAATACTGAGCACTGGAATGGCCACTGGAGAAAGTTCAAGATCTTCCCACATCCAGCTACGTCAACAGGCTCAAACGATTTCCAGCCGTGTGCTTTCTGCGAGATGTATTAGTGACGGTGGTAGTGCTAAGCCAAACAATGCGACTCCGCAGCAGTCCGGGCTTTTGGGGGTTGGGTTCCCAGTTTCAGCATCAAGGCGGCAAATTCATTATTGCTTTGATGGCCAAGTCGCCTCGCAGGTAACTCCTGGATATTTCGTGGCAGCACAGCCCCCAGGGATCTCGCCTGAAAGCGTCTGGGAAGCTCTGGCTCATCGTCGAGTCACAACATGAGTCTCTCGCAAACAAGGACATGAAAAAGCCGACGCAGAACCACAGGAGCCACAGGTGCCACACAGCCGTGCAATCGTCTACCCGAGTGTGCGGCGTCGACTTAACTGAAACGTTTGAAGACCCTTCAAAGTCAGAACGAACCCCAAGCCCTAAACTCCACAAAGCGCCTGATCCAGGCTGCCACTCGCAGTAGTCCATGGCCGCGCAAAGGCACGGGTCCTTTCAAACACGCGGTTCCTTTACGAAGGAGCCTAAAGGTCTCTACTCAGCACGCCCGGCAGCCCTCCTTCAGGCACTTGAGAAGAGGGCCACGAAAGCCAGGAGAAGGAAGCGTGGCAAAGAAAGGGTGGGGACCCGACTCTTCAAGTGAATCTTTTGCAGCACAGCGGGCCAGCACATGCCAACCAGCTTTCTGCCTCGCGTGTCGGGGACAGAGCGTCCGTGATGTGCTCGACACACTGTCTTTCCTAAATGCTGACAGTTGTCATGAGTTTCAATAGCGGAAAAAGCAGAAAGCTGGTTGGCATGCTCCGGCCGACAAAGGCCATACACCTAGACGAACCCGACAAAAGTCGCAGCACGCGGCTGCGCGCGCAACCGCAAGATGGTGTTCAGCGCCGTTCAGGCACTGCCAAAGAAAACATGTGCAAAGTGGAAGTGCAGAATCTTCTCCTGCTGCGCCACAGAGCAGTCGCTTACCTGGGCACAAAGGCCTAATGCACCGGCGGCTTGAAGTGAAACCAGCCGTTCACCTGTTTCTGGACCTGCCTTAAGGTTCTGCAAAGGGTCGCGTAACAGACCCATACAAGTCACCAGAATCCAACAGCACGTCTACTATTCAGCCTGCAAAGCTGGCAAGGCGCCATAGTGGGGTCAAACCCACTCTCTTCCTCAGCTGCCCAGTGTTACTTGAATGATGCACAGCGACTCTTCAAAGCCATGGCCGCCCACCCTTCTGTCTGTAGCACAAAGATCCGAATTAGCCAAAACAGAGTGCAAACGAGCAGCGCCACCGCCCGTGGCATACATCCGACCATCGCAAACATGAGTCGGCCTTGATACCGTTGCATAGATGCTTTGTTTGTCTAGAGTTGCGTTGGGATCTTAGACGCTTTTTCGCGGAATGCCGTGAGCTCAGCGGCAGTGGAGTCGTGGTCGTGCCGGTGGTCAAGCTCTCCAGTAGGGGGCCTCGGCTTTGATCATGTAACATAAGCCCCACAGGCCTCAACTCTAAGACCCCCATTGCAACCCTACACATTTACGAAAGCTAGAACCCAGAAGCGGACTTCACATCTGGTTGCCAAGCTGCGCGTCACTCGGGCGGGGAGGCAAGAGACGTTTCCCAGAGTCAGGCCCCAGTAGCTCGAATCCAAAGCGCCTGAACCGACTGGAGCCCAGGGTAGGAGACGGCTTCTCTATCTACAGTACACAGATTTATGATGCCCCATGCATGAGGCGAGCGTTGCAACAGCATGCACCATCATGCAGTAACAAGCCGGGTGGCGAGTGGCTGCAAAGCTGGCCAGCTCCATGGCAAAGACTTGCCTCCGGATGCTTTGTTTAAGCATTTAGTGTTTGGAATACCGGATGAAAGCTGGGGAAGCCCGACCCTGAGCAAGGCATAGTGGATCTTAAGAGCTGAAGCTGGAGCAGCTCATCGAAGCGCGTACAGATCCCAACCCAGACAAGACTGGAAGCTTTTTCAGAAAGTTACATTATCCTATCTGGGGTTGCCCTAATTATGTCATCCCTCTCCTGGAGCTCGCGCCTGATGGCCGGTGGGCTCCTCCCAACCTGCCGTCTTCCAAGCTCTGCTAAGTCTTCGTCGTGCTGATGCCCCTAATTTTAATGGCATACTGCCGCCGCGACTGCTGCTACTACCACATGGCATACCACCACCACCAACCACCACCACCGCCTGTTGCATGAGGTGAAGCCTTGTAACGAGATCGGCTCATTGGCAGCCTTGACCTAAGTAACCGTATCAGGCACCAGGAGAGCCGAGAGCCCTGACTTGAGGGAAAGACATGGGTAAGGCAAACCGTCGGGACGTGAGGCCGCCAAACTCCCATCCCACGCCGCGGCCTCCTCGTAGGGTGGAACGGACGGCCCAAAGCTCATCTGGGCCAACATGCTCATACCTCTGCATCTGCGACAGGCAGCAGGGACAACGCTAGAACAATCACCAAAATCGAAAGCGCGACGCGTCCCGATGATATGCGCACTGTTGCCGGCAATCTGGCTTTGATTCCATGGCAGGATCCAGCGCGTGCAGTGGTTGTTGTTCTTTTGCTTTTGGCAGTGGGACGGACGCACTGCCGCCAAGATGTGCCACACGACGACACTGACATTCACGCCGAGAAGAACAGAAAAAGTTCGGAAAAGCTAATTTTGCAGTGCCGAGTGCAGTCCCCTGGCAGTGGATGGCTCTGCTGCGGCAGCAAGCTCCATTCGAAGCGAAACGTCTTTCTTCTGAATGCCAGAGACTGCATGTCCTGGGAGTAGCAGCGTAGACTTTACTTATGCACCCTGAGAAACGCTGATGGGAGGCGGTGATTCTCAAAGCTCACGGCTGCAAAAGCAATCTGACGTCTCCACCCGAAGCGATACCTCCAAGAATCACGTGTACTCCAAGCGCTCCTCAACCCAGCTTCCTACCCTCCCCTCCACAGAAGAAGGAATCTTTGCCACCGGCACACTCGATGCCAACAAACGCTGAAGACAAGCGTCCAGAAATCGTGCCACGACGACAGGTGCACTCTCGACCGGCGAGTATTGGCAGATGCTCCCGATTGTGGCCTTGACCACCCTGTCCTTAGCACAGGCTAACACGCAGGTATTACTTTTACTACACTATCCTAGGACTGGTATGTCTACAGCCTGTACCCATACTACTACTACTACTACTACTACTACTACTACTACTACTACTACTACTACTACTACTGCTACTCCTACTCCTACTCCTACTCCTCTACTACTACTACTACTACTACTACTACTTCTACTACTACTACTACCACTAGTACTAGTACTACTACTACTACTACTACTACTACTCCTACTCCTACTGCTACTACTACTGCTACTGCCACTACCACTCCTTCTCCTCCTCCTACTACTCCTACTCCTACTCCTACTCCTACTCCTACTCCTACTACTACTACTACTACTGCTGCTGCTGCTGCTACTACTACTACTACGACAACACTACTACGACTACGACTACGACTACTTCCTTCTCCTACTTCTACTACGACTACTACTACTACTACTACAACTACTCCTGCTGCTGCTGCTGCTGATGCTGCTGCTGCTGCTGCTGCTGCTGCTGCTGCTCCTACTGCTACTGCTAGTAGCTACTGCCACCACCATGTGGTGAAATTTTGTCATTGATCGGGGAGAAGATTGCATCTTTGCGTGCCGGTGCCGGTTCTTGTTCCCTTGTTTTACGTTCGTGCTCTTCTTCTTTGCTATGTTGCAAAGATGGGGTCTGCTTAGACATGTACATGTTTCTGCGTAGTTTCGGTTATGCACAGGAATCCGGAATTCAGGATTCCGTTGGCGATGGCTCTGAGCACAGACACTGCCGACATCAGACCAGAGGGTACAGTCTGCAAGCTATCACGCAATGCACCGTGTAAATCCGTCTAATGCAGAGCCATGCCTGTCAAGTCTGTTACACAGGTAGACTTGACGGACAGGCTCGAGGTTCTGGAAGAGCTCCACGCTGCTTGTGCTGCAGACAAGGGTCGATGGTGGTATTCAGGCTGTTGCAGGATCTCGGGACGATTCGCAGCAGTGGCAAGAAGATATTATCGCCACATGGATGACCGAGGCTAACATCGACTTCGCCTACCAAAACATGGAAGCCGAGTAAAGGCCTCAGAAGAGGACGCTTTTTGTTCACTGTGCAACTTTGCGAAGCTCGACTTCGGAAAATTGGGAGTACCGCATACTGTACACTTCTCGGTTCAGCTTCGATGAGGAAATTGTAGGTACTCACTGCCATTCACTGTGCTTGGGTTTTGTTTGGCCCCTTCATGCACAGTGTTCGGGTCACCGGGTCATGTTATGATGCTCCGTTTGCAGGCCCCGCGTTATGGCAAAGGCCGCCGGGTGGGGCAGACGAAGCAGGGAGTGACAGTTTTTGATTGTCGAGGCCTTCGCGTGCCCCTAGCATCAAAGCCCATGTGGTGACCATTGAGGGCTTTCTTTACGACTTGGACCTGGCCCTTAGTGGATTCATGAGAGAGACCACTGCAACTCCTGACAAACTAGGCTCTGGCGGCAACCACCGCGAAGACCCCTCAAGCACTCGATGCTGAAGCACCGGCAGTTCGAAGGGAGTGCTCAAAGCCCGCCGGCTCCAACGAATCGGCGGTCATGGGAAATCTGCTCACTTCAACTCAATCGCCAGTGCATCCCTGCTCCAGCGGCCGGTTGCAAAGTCCAGCGTCGTGTGTGGCAGGAGAGCGGCGTGCACTGGGAGACTGAAAAGCCAACCACGGCTCACCACAAACTCAAACACTCGTAAGCCTCCGGTACTGACAAAGTCAAGGGAGTGCGCAGCATGCATGTCGTAACGGACTCGAGGCCAGATGAAGAAGGAAGGGTCCTGAGTCTCTGGAACGGATGGCAATGCAAAACAGTTGCCTTCGATCCCGCCCGTCGGTCCTGGTTGAAGCCTTGCTTTATGTAGCTGTGTTCCGCTGCCTTCGTGAAGGGTACCCTCGCCCCCAAGTTGGTTTTTCTCCTGTGCCCTCTGGCTTGATGACTTTCAGAAGCGATCCTTCGAGATATGCTCAAAAACTGTTGCTGGTACGAGTCAACTATTTGGGACGACTGCCTGGCAGGTTCTTGACTGGGTCGATCTGGAATTTACCGAGTCGGCCTTCAGACCAGGCCAGCATCAAGTTTCCTCATAGAGCCGACGATTTCAACGGAAGTCCAACAACGACAGTCGCACATTCTCGGTATGTCTAGCTGCTCAGCCAAAAAGCACCGGCGCCAAGGCCATGCCGACCTGATTCTCATGAGCGATGCCACGTTGCGGCAAGTGGTTTCTGGTGAAGCTGAATAGCACAGATTCGATCATTTTGGGATTGCTTTGGACCCTATCCCGCATAGGCTCTCGTAAAGCTGGCAAACATCGGAAAGGCATAAAGGGGGCTTTTCCCAAAGGCCCTTTGGCGAAGTTGGGGATTGTTGCATCGGTAGGCTATACATGATATCTCACCATCATTTCCAGAGCACGGTTGTTCTTGGGACGCTCTCTCTTTCTGCTTTCGTGAGAGCACGTCAACCAAACAAGCGAAGCTTTGCCCCTTGTGGAAAGCTGGAGCCAGCTCGACACGATGACATGGCTTGCACGGGAAGGGATTGCTGGGAAGTCAGAAAGCTGGCGAACAAAACATGGCCTGGTAGCCGGACAGCAAAAACCCACAAGCAGCAGTCATATCTGGTTTGGACAACTTCCTGCTGCGTCGGCATGAGCTTGTGCAATCATGCGGGTGCAGCAACAGCTTTCCGCTGGAAAAACAGTAGCAGACAGTCCATGAGTAGCATCTCAACGCGTTTCCTGGTAAAGTTGGCCGGCCGAGTTTTAGCTTGCTGGCAGACAAGTGGATTGAGGTGTATCACGTTGCCGTTTATCATTGAGGGAAAACATTGACCGCAGTCTACCTTCGTCAATTTAGCAACGAGAGACAACTCAGAGATTGTGTTTCATCGGAAACGCATCACAAACTTTGCGATGCATTTACAAATCCCCGCATTTTCCCGCAAAATGTGCCGAAGAGTACAAACTGAGCTTTATACAAATCCCCGCAAATCCCCGCATTTTCCCGCAAAACGGTTCCGAGTTTTGCAGGAATGAGCGTCCTTTACAGCAAAACAGTGCCCTGTTGTATTTGTCGCTTGCAAGTACCTGCATGCACCCAGAGCAGCGAGTTGTCCAGACAATCGTAACAGGATACTCCCCTCCAGCTATCCCCAGTCTTGTCGTCGCTGCCCAGTACGGTATACCAGACTGCGTGACGTAGCTCCAGCAGGTTGTTTTTTGAATCCCGGAGCATTCGTGAGATTCGTCATGCTGGGATTCACATGCATCTCTTCTTACTTGACCACTCATGGCCACTCTGCTCTTGTCACGCTTGGTCTGGAGTCGCACGCATTGGCAACCTTCTGTTCCAAGTCGCTGTGCCGTCTTCCGGTGCTGCTATCTTTCAGCCCAGAAGCGGCCTCGTCCCAGCATTTGTGTTTCAACACAAATTCCATTAATAAGCATTTGCAAAACATCCCCCCCGTGCAGCCACCTCGATCGTCCTGACCATGCGTCGCTTTACGCCCGAGTTCACCAACCCTGTTGTAGTTGTCGGGCAACCTGAATCCCGAAAAGGCCCCCTTTTATAAAAGCCCCCTTTCGCCCTTGCCGAAAACATGCTGCAAGGATTTCCAGCAAGAGCCTCGCACCAGTCTTGAATTGAAGCTCATTCGCTGCATACCCCCATGTCATATACGGCTGCTCCATTCGTAGCTAGGGGGTAGGGTGCCAAACGGTGTGCCACCTAGCTAGAGGGCAGAGCACATCTTCGATTGACTTTGTCAGACTTGGGATGGAGTGCTGAAGGCTTTGCGAGCGGAATTTGAGCTCACAGGCTTACACGAGATGGGTGCGTGAAGATGCTGCGAAGGCTTCAGACAGCTCCGGTGACGGACATGAGACCCTGGAGGGTTTCAAGGGACCCGAGCCATGAGACCAAAGGCGAAAGAAGGTCCACGGGCAGCAAGGACCTGTAGCAGCAGACTCAGTAGACTCAGTACCCTTTCAGTTTTGGCCACCCTTTCGTCGACAGAAGATAACATGCACCCTTTCGTCAGGGAATTCTCAGCAGACCTGGGCATGCTGCCGCATGCTGCTTCCGAGGTCGTGTACTTTCCACATCTTCGCCGGCCTTTGTTGAACACGCTGCTTTACCTTTGCACCGCTGGGGCACCCAGCACAGGCTTTGCAGACATTCTCTGATTCCGGAGGCTTCAGGCGATGGCTCTGACGATCTGCACCTTTGCAACTTTAGGGATTTGAGATGATTTAGGTTCTTTTTGTGCTGGGAGAACTTGCCAAGGGTGCCGGTTTCCTTTCCTTAGGTTGGATCTGGTCTGGGGTCCTTGGCAGGGTAGGCCCAGGCGCCCTGGTCCCCCGGTTTGTCCTGCGACTCCCGAACCCGTTCCGGTCTCTTTTCTAGCCCTGCCATGGGCCGCGGTCGGCCAGGTCGCGGGCCATGGGCTGCGTGAAACTTGGGGGCGGGCCTAGCTGTTTAGCAAATGTGCAGAATCGGAATTGCCAAATGAGGGGGCGTGTTTAAGATATGTGATGAGGGGAGTGTTTAAGATATGTGATGAATCTAAATCGCCAAAGGCGGCGGGTGTTCAACATACGTGATGAGCCTGGATCGCCAAACGAGGGGGAGTACTTAAGATATATTATGATGAACCGGAATCGCCAAAGGAAGGGCCGCGTTTTTCAGATATATAATATGAACCGAAGTCGCCACATGAAGGGGTGCGCTTAAGATGTATGCTCAAATCGGCAACTGATCGGGTGTGTTTCAGAAATATGATGAGGAGGGGGCGTGTTTAAGATTATAAGATGTACCGGAATCGCCCCTGCAAGTTGTAATTCCCCAATAGACTGATGCAGGACGCGAGCCTGCAACTTCGAGACACGAGCCTCGAAACTGCAATCCCCCAATAGCTTGGGGGAAACAGCACCTTGCAAACTGTAATCCTCCAATACCTTGCTTGACGCAAATCAACACCCTCCAAGTTGTAATTCTCCGATAGCTCGATGCAAAACAGGAGCAAATGCGGCAGTTATTGCAGTACTGCAACCAAAAATCAGAGCCTGGCAAAGAACCCGGGGCCGCCAGTGCTAGATAAAAAAACTCCGCCAATTGGCAAATGCTGTCGGGGCTGAAGTCCTGGCCCGCTGAAGACACGGAGCCAAAGAGCACTGCCAAGGAGGATACGCTGGTGCTCTGGGCGAACTGCGACAAGCAACTTTGCTTGAAATCTAGCTGGTTCATGCGGCCAGTCCTCCACACCCTGCACAGAGCCCAAGATATCGCGGATCTTCTGAGTCGAGCCCCGTGTTCATCAGATGCCCTGTTTTGCAGGTCGTCAGAACAGAAGCCACGCACATAGCTGCACAGATCTCAAGCACATCCACAGAGAGAGGGAGAGGGAGAGGGGCATCTACCCTACAGCATGGCCCTGGCGAAAGAAAGAAGAGAGTGCGAGAGAAAGGAGGGAGCGAGAGCGGCAGCGAGGGAGGGAGAAAACCCAAAGCATCGATTCATCAAGGTATCCTGAATACGAGCCCGACATTGACAGCTTCCTGGAGCTGCTGGAACCTTTCTTCCGTGTCACCGAGGAGGAGGACAGCACTTGTGTTTGACTTACGCTCGGCTGCATCCACCCTACCAGTGAAACCTACACCTAAACCTGTTTCATCATGCTGGGTCCGCCTCCTTTGACGTGTTGTCTTCAGTTAAAGTGAAGTGGATTCTGAGTTCACACCTTCAGGAAGGTCCACAGAAAGGCTTCGGCGGCCCGTGCGAGGTCAGCGAAGGCGGGGCTTCATGTGTATTTTGTTGCGGAGACGCTTTGCTGACCATTGCGCTAACGTGTCGTGTGCAGCTGGGGCCATATTGATCGCTCATCTTGAATCGGATCTGCCCAGAGCCAGGGTTTTATTCTAGTGTTTTCTGTGTAGTTTCCTGCAGGAAAGTCTTCTTGATCCGGTTTGGCCCAGGGCGCATCACTCCTAACCCGCTTGCACCTGCGGATCACCAGGTGTTGTGAAGATACGGTCCCTCCGCATCTTGAACGTTTCTGACTCAGCTTGCTATTGAGCACGTTGAGCCCGAGACAAACCTGTTCGCAGCGCGCAGAGACTAAGATGGAGCTGGCTCAAAACGAGCTGGCACGCGCAAAGGCGCAACCGCTGCTGGGGGATGGGTGATGCGGTACGATCGGGCTTTGGCTGAGGGAGCTGTGAAGCTTCGTTCTTCGTCGTTTTTGAGCGAAACCTAGTGCATGCTATCAGTTTATTAGGCGATGATGAGCCATGAGGGCAGGCATGCACTCGCAAGTTCTTACGAGACCTCTGGTACGTTCTTGCATTCATAAACTTGGACCTCATCTTGGAAACGCAGCAAGCATTCGACACGGATAGAGAATCGACAACACTTCAAAACTTCGAGTGGTGACCTCTTGGCACCTGATTTGATTTCAGGCTGTACCCCGCCCTTTATCGGGAAGAAACATGGCCACATGCATCCTGTTGGGCTCTTGCCCTTCGTCGTTCAGATGAGTTAACGCTATTTGCTGCAGCGCAGCACACCCTTGCCAAACTCATGTTCGGTAGCAGGTTGCAAGCGATTCTTGACTGATCTTGTTGAAGGCATGTAAGGGATGTAGTAGCCCGGGAACTAGGGTTTTGCTTGTTCGTTGTTCATGCACGTTTTTCGCTATGGCTTGAGAGAACCTTAAACCAAAAGTAGCATAATCTTGAAAAGGTTGCAGCTGTTTGTGAGGTCGGTGGCCCAGGAGAAGCATGCATCAAGCGCTGTTTCTTCTGAGCCAAAGTGACTTTCGGCAGCGCGACGAAAAGAACAAGTGCAGTGTGGTTTGTTCTTTGAGGCCGGCTGGGTTCATGTGCTGTTGCAGGGTTCAGTTCCCAAATGAAGACGCAATAACAAGAATGCAGCGTCGGGAGGGAGCATTGGAAAACTAGTGGCGATCAGTCAGCTTCGAGCGGGTCAGACACAGCTGTGAGTGCCAGACTGCCAGGTTGATTGTTCAGGGCCTGGGTTTTGGGATGTTTCGCCTTCAAAGGTTGCAGTGCCAAGAGTCTTGATGCAGGTGGCGGACAGAGCGTCTTCCATGTGATTTGCGCGCACTTCTTCTGCTTTGACTGTGCCAGCCAGCAGTGCCTCCGCAAACTTCGTTCTGTAATGTTGCACAATCATTTGAGATCGGGCCTTCTCCGGTTGCGGGATGGCCGCCCCTTCTCCAAGTTTCTGCCTAGATACCTTTGAACTTCAGTTAGCCTAATTAGCGGGGAGTACTTACTTTCAGCTATTGATTTGTAGCACCGCCGCACAGGTCCAGCTGGAGAGTTCTGATGTCAGGTACATGAAGCAGCAGCAGGCGCAGGCGAACGAGTACTTCTGTCCGACTTGTCGCGCCACAGCTCACGAGGCCGTCTTGTGCACACGGCACTATCGAAGGGTTTTTTGACTGTCAAGGAGACTTTTGTGAGACTGATTGGACTTGAAACTTTGTCGATCCGGCTTCTAGTTGTGGCAGCTGCACTCACTGGCATTGGCGAAGAAAGGGACTGCTTTGCGTAGACCACTTTCATGACCTAGCATTCCACATATTGGTTCAAGCCTTGTATCGGCTATGATGCATCATGGTGCCAATATTATCTACAAGCTCGGTTTTAAATGGCTTAATGTATGAGACGACACACATAGTCACACCGCCCCGACTTCAGGGACGGTTTGTCAGCTTCAAGGATGCCAGCAGGAAAGCTCATGCTTCTTTGTGCATACCGCAGTTCAGATCTCCGAAAGAAGCAGGGCAGGCAGCGGCAGAGGCAGCACATGCAGCACGACCGAAGGAAGTAACACGTTCTCGAATATCACCAGAATCTCCAACGAGATAGGTTCAGATGACAAGTTCCACTATGAATTGGGGTACCATCAGTCTCCAATCCTGGTAAAGGCACATCATGGCATTAGACCGCAAGCATGATGCAAGCACAGCCTTGTGCGGGGTCGACCTTCGGAGCAGAGAGCAAGTGCACCATCCAGCAATGTCAGGAAGATAAGGTTGTTCGGAGCAGGGCTGGGGTTCACGCACAGCCCAGTGCAAATCGTGGTGGGAAGATGCGATGATTGCTCAGCAAATGAAATCTGACAGCGCAAGGCTCCATTGACTTAGACTTAGCCATGCATTAATGTGCAAACGTGAGGTGGCCGGCCCTCTCAGCAGTGAGGCTTCACTCAATGCCTGTTCTTGTGGACCAGCTTTTCAGGTGATGCCCATGCCCGACATTGCCGTCAATCCCAGGCTGTGGCTGGGCCCTCGCCAAAGAGGCCATTGAGGATCTTCAATGGAATCCATGTCAGCAGCAGCAGCAGCAGCAGCAGGAGCAGCAGCGCACTTGTGAAAAACCGTGTCGTCCTCTGGATACACAGTTGAAGATTCGGAGCGGGCAAGCACGTTCACCAACATGCCCTTCTTTGATGAAACCCAGCCTAAATCAAACCGAGCCAATCTATGCTAACAGTGAACCTCGAGAAAACATGAGTTACGGCGTAACTTGCGACAGATGGAGCTGCAGAACAGAACGCGTTGACTAGCCGAAGACCAAGAAATACCGCATGCAAATCAACGATGCATTGGCACAAACAGCCTGGACCTCTTGCCCCATCTTCTCAACAGTTGCGCAATGCAGCCTGGCCGAGGTTTCAGTTTCTGGATGTGAACCGATCCGGTTCTCTGGCCTGGCATTGGCGATTTTGGGGCAGGGCTTCCGGAGACGTGAGTGGTCTTTTGTCTGGCCTGAGGCTCACGGAAGTCTGCGACACCCTTCAGTGAATCTTGTGTTCTGTATGAGCCTAGTGGCCTAGTGGTCGCTCATTGAAAATGAAAAGGTTGATGAACAGTCCCTTCGTAAACTTGGCGTGGTGTTGCCAATACCTGTCAGATTTCACCCGTCACCTTTGCGCTGCTCGCACTTTGAGTCTGAGCAATCGTGCTTTCAGTTAGTTTGTCAGTGTGTGTGTGTGTGTATGTATGTATATATATATATGTGTGTGTGTGTGTCTGCATACGTGTGTGTATACATATCTATATATACATGCATATATATATATATGTATATGCAAAGATGCTACTTTGTATGCGAGACATATGCATGCATCTCCGTGCGTGTGTATGGAAAATTCTTATTCCTTCGCTAGTTCTGGCCTTGCTCCCAAAGTGCGACAGCCGCTGCCAACCTCTTGCGGCGCAATATGTGCCAGGGGAGATTGACCAAAACATGACAGTTCAAGCATTGGAGGCTGGCACCTGCTATGCACACAATGAGATGAATGTATCAGGCTTTGTGGCCAAACGCCGCATCCCGAAGCTCTGGCTGGAGTTTGAAGTTAGAGTGTCAACTAGATTCGGTGCAGGCCAGATGCCTGATCTTGCTCTTGAGTCCCAGCAGGAATCGCTTAGAATGGACAACCTGTACAGCGAGCTCGCCGATCACCACATCCTTCGCCATTCATCTCATCCCGATTCCCAAGGCCCGTCTCGTCCCCAACATATTGTCAATGATCGTCTTATTCCATTCAGGCCTCCACAAGATGACTGCATGGCTTCGAGACCCTGCAACTCCCTGTTTTGTGTAAGTGTAGGCGATGCTCCCCATCGACACGGAACGCCTCCATGAGTCCATCGCTGGCGGGCTTCGGGCTCGGTTTCAAAGCACAGATACATCGCATCGAGTTCGCTCCGCTACTTAGCAGTGAGGGTCGGTTCCACAAAGAGCTTGGATCCAGTGAGGACTCCAGTCTGCCAGTTTGTGCGGAGAGGCTCTCCTCTTCTACGCTGGTATCAGCCTTGCTTGATGTGTTGCTTATCGTTCTTCCGCTTGTGTATGTTATCTGAACGTCGCTATCATTGAGATACAGAGTTTCCTGTGAGCCAAGGTGGGCAGCTTGGGCCAAGGTCCGGATGTCATCGTTGGGTCACATTCGCCCATTGCCAAGACACCACGGCTTGATCTGCGTCATGTACCTCTGTATGCATGAGTGATCCGGTGCCAAGACATGCACTGCGGATGCGCACAGCCCAGAGCAGGGTCATGTCACGGAGAACGACTTCTTTTCGAAAGGAGGCCTTCTGGAATGGCACCACGCTTGGAGTGCAGACTGTAGTTGCATGCTATCACAAGTTTGCCTGAAGTCAGTCTTGCCATGTAAGCCCAGTCGACTGGAAAACGCCCAAGCATGCTTCCCGGATACAAAAGACCCCAATATCCGAGAGGGGCTCACAAGGCTTCAAGATTCTGCAGGTCACACTGGTGTAGGCATCCTGTGCAGCGAATCTCGGCTTTCCGAGGATCCGTGCCCATCAGCATGACCTCGCTAATGCGGTGAAGCGGGGGGCTGCACCTTCGCGGCTCTGGCGCATTTTGCGGAACAAGCGGGGAAGTGACCCAGCACTTAGTGGGACACTGCTGCCTGCGGCTCTTGGCCACCATGCCGATGTGGGCTGGCGGCACGGCCTTCCGGAACATGTTAGATCGGCAGCTGTGGTCAACAAACAACACAGCTGAGACAGCAGGAGCTGTTTTGCAAATTTCGACCGCCCAGCGCATAGGACTCCTGGCAGCTTCTGCAGGGTTCAAAACCAGCGTGCACTGGCCAAAGAATCAGAACTGTCATCATTGCTATCACTACTGAGTCACTACTGTTGAGTTGGCTTTTACCAAAAGGAATACATTTCAACTAAAATGTCAGGAATTTGGACATACTCTCCGAAACACGACTCGCGTTTTGCTCGAACAGAGATGCTTGACTGGCACTGCACCATCGCTTTACATTCTAGGTACAATCACTTGAAGCATGTCCCTTTGGGCTTATTTGTTGGTGCATTTTCAACAGCGGCGTGAACACTGGCCGAGAGCATCTCTTTTGCATGCGAGCGCAGTTTTGAAGCTGTTGGTGCGCATAGGTCGCAAAGTTATCCAATCGGAAGTTCTCAGTTCTCCCCGAGGGCGTTCATTCCCGACTGAGTCAGAGTGGCCTATCGCGCAAAAGAAAAACCACACTAACCAGCGAGCGACGAGGAAGGCTGTAAAAGCCACGTGCGTCCCGCACGGCGAATGATTCCCGTCTACCAACAGCCTGGCCCGAACTCCACTACACGAGCAGAAAAGTAACAGAGGCGTTGAGCACATCAGACCGCGTGATTTCCTGTAGTTGCTTTCCGAGTGACATGTCCTTGTGAGTTTCGAAACAAGGTCTTGAGTCGTCTCTATAGGATGAGCACTTGTGCATAGTCCCTCGCGGTCACTGACCTCCAAGGTCCGATACGAGGGCCAAGGGCACCACCTTGTCGCCAGGTTGCCGGCAGACGACCTCCAAGACTGGTTTCGGCATTGGGATGTGGTCCTGCCCCCAGCAGCATCGGTTCGTCAGAGAGCAAGCTTTGCTGGGTTTCTGTCCGTCACAGTCGTTCTGGTTCTGTGTAGGTGGGAGGCTCTGTGTATGTACACTTGCAAGGGCCTCTTTCGCAAACCCGGAACCTCAGAATCGATTGTTCCTACTCGAGCATCAAACCCATCGGCTCAAGACACGGATGTGGATCTGCACAGATGGTTAGTTCAGCAGCCACTGCCCCATCGGGTGACCGGTTTGGGTGGATAAGTGGGTGGGTGCATGGGAGTTTCTGGGTTTGTGCAGACCAGCCTGCATTACGGCTGGACATCCGAGAAAGTAAACAGCCCGCCACATCGCACAATGCTGCTGGAGGCCTTCGTGCCACAGCCCGCTCAACAAACGAATTTCTTTTG